ATTGCGGTGGGGTTGTTCCAGAGGCTGTAGAACAGAGGAGAGAGGTTGTTAGTATGGGGTGGGTGCACTGGATGAGAGAGGGAGGGAGAGAGGGAGTGTGGGGGAGGGGGGCGTACTTTTCAATCGAGACGTTGTGTCCGATTCCGCCGAATTCGCCCTGGATGCCGATTCGCTCAGGGTCGTAGGGGCTTGCGGGGTGCGAGTAGAAGGGCGTTCCGCATTGCGGGTTCGCGTAGTGGTGGTTATCCTGTCCCATACGATCAGCATACCGCCCCTTCACTAACCATACACAAGTCCCAAGCCCACAAAACAGTGAGGACATACACTATAATCCCCAGCCCCATGATCATGCCACCCACTAACAGCATTAACGAGGCGCGAGGGATCGAGTTCGCGCACGCGGTCCGTAAGCGCAAACTCCGGATGCGTCGACACAATCTGCGACCAGCCCTCGTTATAAATAACCCACGACATGATGCTCGGGTAGCTCTTGAGCTGGTTGACGAGGACGTCGAGCTGGCGCGCGAATTCATCTTGCTGCGCTTGGTTCGGTTCGACCAGGGCCATGGATGGCATGTCTTGGATTACGAGCAGGCCGAGCTCGTCGCAGGCGCGGTAGAAGAGGGCTGGTTCGACTTTTATCTGTTTACTTTTGTTAATATTGGGGGTTGAGTGGGGAGGGGGGATGGGTGGTAGGTAAGGGCACGTACGTGTTTCCGGACCATATTGAACCCGAGATCCTTAAGCAGCTGCAAATCGTAGATCATCGCCTCGCGATTCGGAGGCGTGTAGAGGCCATCAGGCCAATACCCCTGATCGAGCGTCCCAAAGATAAACCGGAACTCGCCATTGACGAGCGGGCGAATGACGCCATCGACCTCGCCCTTGGAAATAGTGCGGAAGCCAGTATAACTGCTAATCTCGTCATCGCCAAGAACGACAGTGAGATTATACAGATTCGGCGAGTCCGGCGACCACAGCTTCACGTCGTCAACGGTAAACGTGAAGAACTCGTCTGCGGTCGCGGTGTGCGTGGCGATGGTCTCGTCGCCTTGTTCGACGCGGACTTCGACGGGGGCGCCGGTGCCTGAGGCGCTGTGCACGATTGCGGTGACTAAAAAAAGACATCAGGACATGCACATGCACATACACATGGCTACGGCGAGGTGGATGGGGGACCCACCCTCGCCGTTCATGTCGGCGGTTAGATCGAGCTTGGTGATGTACTCTTGCGGGACAGCCTCGAGCCACACGCTCTGCCAGATGCCGCTGCAGGGCGTGTAGAAGATGTGGCGGAGGTTGAGGGTCTGCTTGCCGATGGGGATGACGGCGCCGTCGCCGTCCGTGGGGTCGAAGACGAAGACGAGGCTGTACCGTTAGTGATGCGTACTTGTACTGCTCTGCTGGTGGGTCCACTTACAGCTCGTTGTCGGCGCCAAAGTTGACCGCGTCGGTGGCATCGACGGTAAACTCGAAGTACCCTCCGCGGTTGAAGCCGACATTCTGTCCGTTGATGAAGATAGTCGCCTCGTAGTCGACTGCTCCAAATTTCAGCAAAACACGCTGCCCCTCCCAGTCATCGGGAACGGTAAAGTTCGTCGACAGCCACGAGAAGATCGTATTCTGTCCCTGGAGACCTGCTCCCGTCAGCACCATCACACACCCCAACTCATACAAACAGTGACAGAGATAAACATACCAGAAAGCCCACTCTCCAGACACGACGGAATCATCACTTCGGTATCCAGCTCCTGCCCAAACGGCGGCGCCTCGAGAGCCCCTGCGTTGCCCGCGTTCCGATACTGCCAGATCCCATTCAGGTTCTGCCACTGGTCGCGCTGCAGCAGCGGCCGCGGATACTCGGGCCAGGGGTTCGTCCCGACCTTGTCGGTCCACTCCGTTGTGAGGGGAGGGGTCTGCAGTGCGTATGGGGTGGCAGCAGCGGTGAGGCCGGCGGCCGCCAGCAAGGGGAAGACGACACGGGCGAGAGAATGCATGGTCGACTTTCTTCGTTTCTTCGGCCTTGTTGGATACTCAAAGATCGAAGAGAAGAGATACACCGACTGTATCCGGCGCTGCCCTCTTTATAGGCATGGCATCCTCTTCTGCTCTCCTCCGGCCATCGGGGAGGGTGGGGGCGCCTCTCGCACTACATCCACCCCCAGCTTCATGGCCAAGAAGTGGACATCGGTCATTCTGCATCCACCACCTTCCTATCCAAGCCCTCCCCCGCACTGCGGTGGCATCGCGCCCATCGCAAAAGCCCCATCCTAGCGTCGCGCCGAGAGCCGTGGTCGCTGGGCCTGCAGTGAAAAAGTGTGGAGCACATCACCTGCCCAGCGAGGCCAGCAGCCAGCGAGCCAGCGAGGTAGCCAGCCCCTGAGGGCGAACCCGAGAAACCCCGGTCGATCATTATGGGGATGGATGGAACTTGGGCGCGTGACTGATTATTGGGAGAAAAGGGTGGTCCAGGGGAACACCGGGGGTATTATCCGTGGTAAAGTGACACGAAACGCGAAGGAAATAAATAGTACGCCTATGGTTCTGTCCCTGATCCGCGGATTCGCCGGCCTGTTCTGTTCCTGTTCCTGATTCTGAGGGCGGAGTAAATGGGCGGTGGCGTTGTGGCTGCCCTGGATGTGCCGGATGGGAGCCATCGCTGGCGATCGCTGCGGGGCCCACAGAAGGCCAAGGGGAGGAGATGCGAGATGAGATGGCGCCGAGACCTCACCTCACCTCACCTCATACCCATCAATTCATTCATTCAAGCACTGAACTTGGAAATACTCGAGGTTGCATCACGGTGAAATCATGCGAGCAGATGCAATCCTCGGCGGGAATGAGCACTCGCGCGCCGAGGCCGTCCAGCCCTCTCGCCAATGCTGCGCGGGCTCTTGGACAGCGTCACCGGTGAGCAGCAGCTGCCCCCGTCACAACCTCGAATGCATGGCAGGAAATGCAGGTTGACATGCGCTCCGCTCATTGGCCGTGTCACATGCCATAAGGCTGGGCTGCAGTGGCGGACTGCGATTCGCTAATTTTCAAGTTCTACCGCTATCCAGATTGACATGAGCAAGTCAGGCTGTGGTTGTCCAGTCGAATCCATGCAGTCCCTGGTCAGCCGGGAGACTCGAATGGGCCCACCAATCAGCATTGCGAACCGGGTTACATTCACGCTCGGTCTGGAAAATTGTTATCCGGTTGGGCAGCGGTGCATGTCATCCCTGGCTCGCTCCACATGGATCCATCTCTCGGTGGTCACTGGACGAAGGTTCAATGCTTTGTCTTGCCTCTGCTTTACACTGCGATCTCTGTTCCTGTCCTGATTCCACTTTACTCTCTCATTTCCAACCCCATCGCCCTCGCCTCCGCCCTGACAATATCTGGAATCTCACTCTCAATCGTCCCTTCCACAGCCCTCCACCCCAACAACCTCCGCGCCCGAATCGCCTCCGCCCGAACCGCATAGTTGGTCACCGGCCGACCCGCGGGCCTGAGTATATCCCGGCTCTCCACCCTGACCACCGAGACTTCCTCCGAAGACAGGAGTCCCAGTTTATACGCCTCGGCCGTAATTCTCCGCGCGATGTCGCCCCAGATATACACCCCGCTCTCGACGAGGTAATACCCCTCCTCATTCCACGTCGCTTGACCAGCGCCACCTGTTCCGTTCGTTGCGACCGCATCCTCAACGAGAGAAACATACAGCCGCGAGAGATCGTACACGTGCACGGCATTCCAGAACGTGCGCCCGTCGGCGAACTGCAGCCCGCGGCCCGAGCGTAGAATCAGCCGCGCGAAACCTGGGATTTGGTCGGAGCGCTGGGAGACGGGGCCCCGGCCTGGACCGTAGACTGTCGATGGGCAGATTATGGCGGTTTTCAATGTGTTCGAGCCGGATGATAGGATGAATTTGTCCACGTCGCGGTGCGCGGCAGCATCTTTGGTTTTACGAGTTGCCATTTAGTATGTCCTTCGGAGAGTATGGTAGGTGTAGAGAGGGTTTAGAGAAGGGATGTCTGCATACCAGGTAAAGACCTCAACTCCCCAATCCCATCCCAATCATCAAACACACGGACCCCATCCTCCGAATCTGGCCGCTCACCTCCCGCGCTCGGATCAAGCAAAACATCCGTGCCACTCGTATGGATATAAACCCCACCCGCGTCGCCTCTCCTCCGCAACCCACGAACAATCGCCCTCGCAGAAGGCAAATGGTCGGCGCTCAGCGCAAAATGCAACACAATCTCATTCGTCGCGACCTCCTCCTCGATGACCGAGGCATCGGAGTCGTCGTATGTCGCGAAGAAGAGGTTTAGACGGGGGTATTTGGTCCGAAAGGCGCTTTCGTATGACCGGTTGCGGAGGAGGATTGTCGTGCTGCTTTCCCAGTCTGGGTGTGCGGAGAGCAGCGCGTGTAGGACGTCGCCGCCGATGTAGCCGCTCTAGATAGAAATAGTCATCAGCTGTGGATTTGGGATGGTGGGGTAGAAAATGTATGTACGGCTCCGGTAAGGAATATCTTTGGGGCAGGCATTGTCCCTGCTCTGTTTCTGTCGTTGTTATCGTTACCTTCTGCGCTGTCATGACATCCACAACATAGGTAGTACGTCGAGTCTAATTCAATGCTGATCGTATCGTTGACAGATAACCCCGCCAGCCCCGCGGATGGATTACCAATCGAGATGGATGGGACGGACGCATGTCATCTGGATGTCTCCGAGCGGGCCGACTTGGGGCCAGGGACTCTTAGCCTATTCGCACATGGGCAGATCAGGGCTGTTAAATGTTAAATGTCCAAGACGCAGGTATGTTGTTTTCTCTTCTCATTCTGGCTAGTCCAAAGCTTGGAAAGATAGAGACCCGACGACTTTCCTAGCGGTGGGACCGACCTCTCCTCTATACTCTACCTTCAATGTAATATTACTCCTTCTTGACTGTTAATATTTCCTGCACCTGTTTAGGTAAAAGAGAAGAAGAAAAGAAAAAGTAAAAGAAAAAGATGAATCGAAATGGACACTGGGACCTCGTCGGTGCAAGCGAAGCGTTATACCACTAAACCAAGCCCCCACCGCGTTACCCAGAATCTGGCTGAGCTGAGTCTATGAGTCCAGAGCGACCTAAATGTACATATACGACCCATTCCAACTTCGTGACCTCACAAGCAGCCGCCGCAGTAGACATTACCATCCCCTCAGCTAACGGATGAAAAAAAAGAAGAAGAAGAAAAGCAATGTGTATCACTATAAATCTAAGCGTTTAAACCCCCCGTTTCCCCACCGCATGGCCCGGAAGATCCCACCCGTTCGCCCCGGAAAGCGACCCGTTGGTGACATGCAACCTGCTGCCCCCATGCTGGTTCGCAGGCGAATTCGAAAGCCGGTTTCCATCGTGGGCATCTACGTCGTCGCCAACAGGCACCTGCTCACTCTGAACGTGCATCTCCCGAGTTACCGTGATCCCGTTCCCGGCTTTATCCCCTGAGCCAGCTCCAGCTCCGGAAACAAGAATCTCCTCATCACTCCCCCACCCAGTCCCCGTCTGCGACACCAGCGTCAAACTCGCGCGATTCTTCTTCCCCTTCCCAAGCCCAATCTTACCCATCGTCCCGCCCATCGTCCCAGACATAGTCCCACCCGCACTCGCAGTCCCATTCCCAATGCCGGTCTTAATCCCCGTCCCACTACTAAGCGGAAGACTCTCGCCCCTCCGTCGCCCAGACGGCCCCTGATAATCGCTCGGACGCCCCGAGTTACTGAATAACCCGCTCAGACCGATCTTGCTCGCGCCGCGCCGGATCAGCGGTTGCACGATGGGCAGGTTCGAGACGATGATTGAGACGAAGGATTCGCGGCATGCCCATTTGCTGCCGGAGACGGCGCCGTCTGCGCCGGCCTGGATGGTTTATTTTCGTTAGTGGGGCTGGATTTGTGGGTTGAGGAGGGTGGAAGTAAGAAGGGTCAGGTGGAGAGTGAGAGAGAGGGCTTACAGTAAGAATCGTAACCGCACGGATAATGGCGGCCATGATGACGAAGACGGCGCCGCTGAAGAGGGCCATCAGGGTGACCTTCCGGCGGATGCCGATGCGGACGGTCCAGAGGAGCTGTCCATTTAACTCCAGTTAGTATTCCCATGGTATTTTTGGCTGTGGCTGTGGCTGTGGTTATGCTGCGGACGACGAACCGGAAGAGGAATGGACATGAGGTAGATATCCGTCAGGACATTAGGTATCATCACGACGAGGACGTAGACTTTTGAGCAGGCGGGTTGGCATATATCTATCCGCGGATATTAGTTCAGATTTGGCCTTGGACATGGCTGGTGAGAGTCGGGAGGGGTCTGACGCACTCCCTGGATCCGGGCTAATCTGCCAGAACCGATGCATGGGCTGGCAGCTGAGTATAATCGTCAACGCGACGGCGAGGTACGTGGCGCCGAGCAAGAGGTACGCGATGCGGACGCGCGAGGGGAGGTGGTTCAGTCCGGTCCTATCCATCCAGAGTATAGTGTCAGTCGGGTCACCTCCACTTTATATCCAATTGCACTCAAGCCCTTCAATCGCAATATAAACTCGAAATAGAAAATGGGTGGGAGTCGCACGTCAACCGCGAGTAAAAAACCGCCAGGCTGAATTTAACCAACCACAGCACCATCGCATACAGCGACCACCCGGCAACCTGGATCTTCGAGCCCCAGACGCGGTTATAGTATTCCCGGGAGGACGGGTCGATCGCGGCGCGCTGCTCGGGCGTCATGTAGCTATTCGTGAGGCCGGCGTATTTGGCGCCGACGAGGTAGGCGAGGGAGACTTCGATCGCGAAGGCGGCCTGAATAAGGTGTATTTGTTAGCGACAGCTGGAGCGTGGGTAGGTTTTTCGGGGTGTTGGCTGTCGACATACACCAGCGAGCGGCATGAGGTAGTCATCGAGCTGAAAATTCGACGGCCCCGTCTGCGTCCATCGCACGTATATCCGGACGAAAATCAGACCCAGCGCGAGGGCGAGCAGCGTCCAGCTCTCGGCGTAGTCCATGGCAGCGATTATTGAGCAGCCAGTCACTCAGTCACTCAATCCGTGGAACAGCAAACACTGAGGCGCGGAACGCATGGTTGCGGGTCAGCAGCAGATATAACAACTCGACGGAAGAAGAGAATCTGCATCGTGCGCCGTGCACGGCTCCGCGCCTATCTCCTGACAATCATGCCTCGTAAAGGTAAGAATACGCTGGATGGCGACGGCACTGCGGCGCGGAAACACTCGAGAATAGTTCTGGATCATTGGATGTTTGGACGAGCGACCGAATAGGAACGTCGTCGCTGCCGATCCCACGGCGATCTTTTCGAGGCCGCTGCGAAATCCGCAGGCGACCCCACTGCTGGAGTTGATACAAACTCCATAAAACGGGACGCGCGCAAATCGTGAAAACGGTGAGCAGCTTTATTATGGAGTCATGGACCATTACGGGCCGTTGGTGGAGCGATGGGCCATACTGTGAACGGGTGTCTGACTGTCTGTCGCTGCCAGAGCCCAGGGGCGTTGCCGCGTTGTTGACAGGTGCCATCGGACTCTGCGATCTCAAATATAAGACGGAGAACAAAGAGCTTCGATTCCCGCGCGTCTCCGAAATTTGCGGCTTGCACAAACTTTGCCATCTCGCAGAAATCCCCGAAGCGAGCAAAGTTCAGCCACAGGCCCAGTTCCAACATGGTGGGAATGGGATCCTCAGCCAGGTCGCTTGGCGGCAAATTCTCTGCCGCTGGGGTTTCCAAATGAGTTATAGCATGTTTTAGGGTGTTTTGAGAGTCCGAGGGATTTTACAGTCTACGACGAATGCGGTATGTAGCAGTCTGCAGCCCAGCGGCTTGAAGCGGTCTCTCGACTCTCTCCTTATCTAGCAGGCACCGGCTTGTGCTTGACCGCGTTAAAGGTTCGGCGTTTGTCCGAGCAGGATTTTAACCTGGCGATCTGGATAGAAACCTGGCCATTGAGCTGGTCTACTTGACTCGTGGATTCCAGCAGGGGACGGGGAGTTAATTAGCCCTGTGGGTGAGGGCAACAATGGGAGGTTCAAATCAGTAGTAGTGAACACCATGCAGATGATATTCAGGGACGGAGTACCAAATAGTGCAACCCGTCGGTTCGAACTTCAACCTGACAGGCAGAGTCAGACCGAGCTGTCAGGCCCTCAACCCAAGTTGGCAAGTTCCAACTTCAGGGGCAGTCCTTTTGTTATATAGGGGGGCGTCAGTGGCTCCTCCCCGGGCCCCATCATCCGCCTCCCCCCCGGTCCGTATTTCCAGGTACTTTTGGGCGATCGGCATTTCACCGCGCTCCATCTCCCGTGGGTCTGGGATTGGAATTCAACTGCGCGTGTGTCTGCAGAAAAGACATTTGAAATCATCCTACTGACTGGCAGTAATAAGAATCATAATCGAATTGTTGGTCCCGAGCCCTGGTACGTAACCTTTCTTTTAGTACTCCGGGTGTTGGCTGTTCTCCCGGGAAATCTTCTGCAGAAGTGCCCTCGAGGCTCGAGTCCTTGTCGTGCGATTTCCCCTGACTTCAGGGTCTTTCATCTATTTGGTCCTGCGTGTTGATAATAGATCTATCGATGCCTTTTCAGACTAATAATAATGGTTCCATCTTCATTCGTCTCTTTCTTGGGGAATTGGCAAATACACGTCGTCCATCCAACTACGAGGGAAGCACAATGTACTAGAGTCGTAGGTCCAATGAACCGATCCCGTTTCTATCAACAAGACCCAGCAATCTGTTCAACAACAGCATGCAAAGAGATATTGAAATAGGCAGCACGGAAGCAGGCACGAAAGCAGGCACAAACTCGCTTTCAACGGCGCTGCCAGAGACTGCGCGGCAGCTCAAGACCCAGGCATGTAGAAATAAGTCGAGATGCAACTCAAGATAATAGTAATTTGGGAACGAAAGCGTTCACGGACCAATAATCAATCCCAAGGTGGAGCGTATTGGAAACAAGATGTTCCTCCGTATCGCGAGGTATGTATGCCCTCGCCTCGCTCGTCTCGCGCAACCTGCTCCCCTCGCCCCGCAAAAACTCAAAGCATACGAAGCGAGATTAAACACTCCACATTTCTCGTATAACCTCATCCCCACCTGCATAATCCACTTATCTTCACTGCCTCAGTGACCTGTCTTCCCTGTCTCGGGTCCAGGCTCCTTCTTCACCTTCCCCGCGGAAATCCGCCCGGAGATCGCCCGCCTCCATATTCCTCATCTGTCCCTGAAAATCAGTCTCAGTCACCGCGTGGGATGCATTTTCTGGGGTGAAGAAAAGTACTAGCTCCGCATAATGGGCTAGCTGGCGCATTCGCTGCTCGCATCTGTCGGCGAGCAAGCTGCAAGCCATGTTCTAGCCGGCGATCGCCGCGGAGTCCGTCCCGGGTCCGACATACAACGTACATACATACACGCACGTGTGCCTGTGCCTGTCCCTGTGCCTGGCGTACAAATTGCCAGAGGCTATGCAGGAAAAGCAGCAATGACGCAGTATATTTCGTTCCTAGACCACGCGGGAATTGGTTGCACGCACGGCAAGTTAGAGCACGGCAGGCAGGTTAACTGCTGTGTCCGAACACAAAAACATCATTCAGACGCTGCCAGCATTTCATCCAACCGCACTCGGCGCTCACTGCTCAATAGCCCCCGCGAAGCACCCGCCTCAAGAAGCATCCTCGCCAGCTCCACATCCCGCCGCTCGACCGCGAAGCCAAGCGGGGTCAGAAACGATCCAGCGTCAAACGCCGGCCTCCCGAATCCCCCCAGGACCCGGTTCAGGAACCACGGCTCGCGCCTGCTCTGAGGGAGGATCCCATCCAGGTCGGCCAGGGTAGAATGCGATATTAAGACGGGGACGAGATCGTTGCGCCCGCGCGTGACGGCCGTCTGCAGGGCGTTGCCGGAGGCGCTCCGCGCACGGGAAACGGATGCGCCCTTTGATATCAGGAAGTCGACGAGGTCGGGGCTTCCGCTGAAGATTGCGCCCGTCAGCGGACTGTTTCCGCCGAGCGCCATGGGGCTCTTGGGGTTGATGGC